ATAATACTTTTAAACAAAACATAATACTTTTAAACAAAACATAATACTTTTAAACAAAACATAATACTTTTAAACAAAACATAATACTTTTAAACTAATATGCTACAACTATATATAGAGTCTTTTAAAAGAAAATGAATAATTAACACGCTAGATAACTATTATAATCTAATTCTACAGTTAACTTATAAAAGCTAGATAATAATAAAAAGTTAGTAATTATTAAGCACATAGTTAAGCTATATACATAAGAATTTTCCTCTTAGCTAGTAGCTGTAGCTAATATTGCTAATTCTTTACACAATAAGCATAATATACGCTATATTAGCATAAACTAACTTAGTATATATGTAAAGTGTTATCTAAAGCTTAAAGTAAAGTTTTAAGTATAAGTATAGTTAGTAGATGTCTAGCTTATTATAAAGCCTATTTTATTACAGTTGTATATATTATTATCTTAGATGCTATACTTAGCTTTAATATTCTTTATAAGGCTAAACTAGCTTTATATTACTTAATAATTCTTATAAAAAGGTTTTTTATAGTTATACTTACACTTAACTTTACTTTACGCTTTAAATAACATTTTATAAACATACTAGGCTAGTTTATGCTTATATAGCTAGATTACACTTTATATATAAAGAATTAGCTATATTAGCTATAGTTACTAGCTAAGAGGAAAATTCTTATGTATAGTACTTAAGTATATGCTTAATAATTACCTACTTCTTATTATTACCTAGCTTTTATAAGTTGGCTGTAGAATTAGCTTATAAAAGTTGTCTAGCGTGTTAGTTATTTATTGTCTTTTAAAAAACTTTATACATAGCTATAGCATGTTACTTAGAGAGTGTTGTATTTTATTTAAAAGCCTAAAGTGTAAGCTGTATCTAATGTTCTTTTAGCGCATCTAAGTAGTGTTATTAGGAATGTATTAGTGTAGAAAAGGTAGTTTAGAAGGGTCTTAGCAAAAGTAAGCAACTTAGATGTGTAAGCAACTTGCTTGTAGTGTGCGTTAGTAAGCTATTTAATATATAACTCTTTACTAAGCTATATAGTATAGTTAACTTTATTATAGTTAGTTTAAATGCTAAGAAACTAGTTTAGTTTTTTTATAGATTAGATTTTATAAATTTTTATATGCTTAATTTTAAATTAGTCTAAGTACTGTTTATACTTTAGCAAGTAAAAAATAATAATATTATTAATATAAAAGTAAACTATAAGATCTTTATTAATAAAAAAATAACTAACTTTAAAAATTTAAAAAAAGCTAAGCTTTTTAAGCAACTTAGTAAGTTTTAAATACTAAAGCCTAAGTATATTTTTAAGTTTATAAAAAGCTTAAAAAGGTTTAAAAGCTTACTAGAAGTAATAGTAGCCTAGTAGTAGGTTATAATATGCTTAGGTTAGAAGCTTAGTGTTAATAAAAGCGCTAGTAGTGTTATATTATTACATAATTAGGCTAAATAAGGCTATCATAGCGATAAGCGCTTTAAAAACGCGTGCTACTAGAGTAGTAGCATATGTTTTAGCTATAGTAACTTAGAGGTTGCCTTATATATAAAAATTAACCTTTAATTTAGTTAAAAAACCTTTAGTCTTAAATTTATACTTATATAATTATTTTAAAGGTATTGCTTAAGTATTTATAGCCTCTGTAATAAAAACTAGCTTAAATGCTTTTTTTAATAAAAGTCTATAAATGTAATCCTTATAGCATGCTTCTAGCTCTCTAAGAATTAGTAGTAGTATACCTTATAGTAAGTTTTAGGCATAGAAAGTAGATAATCCTAATAAAAAGCTTTAAAAGTAATAGTAGTAGATTTAGTAAAGTTTTTAATAAAGCTTAATATAAAGGCAAAATACTAGCTAGACAGTTTAGTAGTAGTTGATATAAGTGTAGTAGTGTATTATTAACATCTTAGTCTACTCTCTCTCTTTATAATGTTTAATTTATTAGTAGTAGCTGTACTACTAGAAGAGCTTAGTCTAGTAAAGTCTTTAAGCTAGGTGTAAAAAGTAAAGTTAGATTAAATAATAATATTTTAAAACTTATAATTAATTATAACTATATACTAAGTAGTTTTAGCTACTTAAGATAATAATTATTAGTTTTAAAATGTATAGCTATATTGCTAATGTCGCAACTGCTCATTGGGAAGCAATAAGAAGCAAGTCTATTAACTATAAGAGGCTTATAGGGAGCCTGCCTATGTAGTGGGAGGTTAGGCGCCAAGTGTCTCAGGCTGCTCGTCCGAAACACAGGCGCGATACTAGGACCATGTGCTCTCTTACGCGGCAACTTATTTGTAAATAAACTTTAATAACTAATAGTGTTTTATTATTAAAGCTATTATTTAGCATGTTACTAAACTAATTTTAAAAGACTAAGTTAATATTAGTTTTTTTTCAAGTTAACTTTTAAAATAGTTTTTAAAGTTATGTTAGAAAAAAGTAGATAGTAGAGAGACTCTTGCTAGCGCATTTTATAGAGCTAATTACTAAGCTTTTTATTACACTTCTTAAGCTTTAAAAGCTTCTTTAAAAAATTAGGATAACTTTTATTATTTAAAGTATTAGTTAAAGTAAAAAAGGTTTTTATAATAATGTTACCTTTAACTACTTCTTATAGTAGCTTATATAAAGCGTAGTTATTTAGTTTATAGAAAGAAGTGTTATTAAATATAATATTATACACTTAGTAGACATAGTTATTTGTTAGATTCTATCTCTAATAGATATTTTAAGAGTTATACTTACATAAATATATAATAAAAGCTTAGAGTATAAGCTTATATAACTTTATAGTTCTTTTAATAAGAACATACACCTTAACACTAATTTAGTAAAGGTAACAGCAGTCTAGTTTCTTACAATATAGCATTTTAAATAGTATCTTCTAATTAAGTAATTAAACTATTGTATAGTGAAGCATATAACTTCGAAAACTAAATATAGTGTTTTTTTTAAAGATTTTATAAATTTACTAACATAAGTAAAACTTTAAGCTTAAACAATAACTATCTAGCTAAAGTGTTTAGCTGCTATTAGCTTCTAGCGTATATAGTAGCGCTAGCTTTAAAGTAATGCTCTATATGATTGTAACACCTAAAGGTTAAGAGTTTAAGTCTTAGTAATCACTCTAGCTTAGATCATAACAGAGGCTATAATTAGAGTAGAGTAGATATATATCCTTAGCTTTATGTCTTAGAGGCTAAGACAATAAAGGGAGGAGGTAGTGTGTAACAAGGTAGGCACAGTCCACTACGTGGCCTTCTCTCGCTTATAGAGGTTTAGGCTAGACTAGAGACAACCGCTAGTGCTAGTGCTAGCTCTAGCATTATCTATATATATATTATACTATGCAAGAATACTTAGCTTAAGTATTCTCGTGCGTACCTTTTAGTACAGTAAGGAAAGTCGTATAGTATTAGCTTGGCAGGCAGGGCGCCTACCTTATTACAAGAAGGTTATTGTCTAGTTAATTAGGCTTAGCTAGTAAGTAATCTATAATTAGTATGTTTAGAATAGACAGAAGGTTGTTGTCTTGTTAATTAGGCTTAGCTAGTAAGCAATCTGTGATTAGTATGTGCTAAGGTTTGCAGAGCCCTCTTAAGCTAGATGCAAAAGCTAAATGTATAGTAGTGACTATAGTACTAGTTAGGAGCGCAACTCTAGGCTTATAACTCTTGCATAAGCTAAGAAGAGGTTATATAGTAAGTAAGTTAACAAGGTATTAAGATCTAAACAAAGTAGATTATATAAGTGTATTATCAGGTCTAAGGAGCGCAAGAGAACTCTAGGCTGACTATATACTGTACAAGAAAGAAACTAGTCCTAATAAGTGAATAGTGCAGTAGATGGGTATGCTATCGCATGAGACACGTGCGATAAAAACTACTAGGCTGTACTTCTTAGAGGCGCTAAAAAAAGTTCCTTTTGCCTAGGAAAAAGCTAGACTAAGCATGGGTATTAAACAGGCTGGTGTTCAGTGATTAAATGTGATTGAGTGTGTTCCTATTAGTGGAACAGGGGTGCAAAAAATGTTATTGCATTATCTATGTACGCAGCAAACCAGGCCCATAACTGTTGCAAGTGGCAAAAGGTCAACCTCATGCCAAGCAGAACAGAAGATATAGGCTGATAAAATACACGCGCGACACCCAGCATGCCTATCATGACCCCTGCCTCATTCATGTTATGCGCATTCTCTGCAGTGACAGCCGGTTCCTGTAAGGCCGACCTTATCACCTCAAACCACCCCGTGATCTTATCGTAGATATTATTCCCATGACGTTTCTAGTCGATCTCCCCAAGTCTTCTTGCCTTAAGTTCGGGATGTCGTTTCTTAGAGGCTCAAGGCCAGCGATGATATAAACTTCATTTGTAGAGGTTCGCTAAGGCTACATATTAGTAACAGAAACCTCACAATTGCCCTTTTCTCCTCTGGGGCGAGATATTGCTGGCTTCGGGCCTGTTCTATTCGTGACCGTCGTCCGTGTTCCCGATGTTAGAGAGTGACTAGAGGGTCTGATAGGGCTGCATATGGGACATCAAGAGGGAGAACTTGCCACAAAATCTCACTGGCCAGATCCATAATAGCGAAAGTGGTGATAATTGTAGCAGCACAAGAACGAACTATTATTCTTTTCAACATTGCTCTTAGGCTAAAATAGCTTACTATTAAGTTATTTTAAGCTATTTTTATCGCTTTTAAACTTTCTAGTATCTTAGTTCTTTTATACCCAATTAGTCTATTAGAAGTTTTAGTAAGTTTTTATAGTTAAGTTTTCCAAGGTAATGTGAGAGGAAGTAATTCAACGTACCACAGAGGTTGTGCCTTAGGACGACAGTTGCAAGGAACCTACTTCACATTGCGTTTAGATCATTGGCGGAACTTGTCAGGACTAGACTTGATTCGGGTGAATGAAAGGAGACATTGGACGAATGCTGTTCTGTGTGCAAGAGAGATGGCAATACATTGTTCTCGTGTGGATATGTGAGATGTAACGCATCTAATAGTACTCGTCACCAGCCTCCTGCTGTTCTTCTTCTACCTCCTCCTCCTCCTCCTCCTCCTCCTTCTGTTCTTCCTGCTCTTCCTCCTGCTCCTTGTCTTCTTCATGGTCCGCCACCGCATAACCCCCAGCCGCGCCAGCAACTACTCCCAACCCTCCCGCAGCTGCATACCCACCCATATGAGATCCCGATGCCCGACTCTGCGTAGGGGCTGAGTAATTGTAGGTATTCGCACTTTCGTATCCAGTGTTCTCATTGCCCAGACCTCGAGCTTGATGATAGCTTTGCGGGGGATATCCAGATCCTGGGTATGCGGTAGCTAGAGGGGCATGTGATGATCCTGGGTACGTTGTAGCAGGAGGGGTGTGTGTCAGTCCTGGATATGCATCATACTTGGTGTTGCTCTGCGCGTTGTAAGGCTCGTGCCAGGATTGATTGTTATAGGACTGACTTCCATAACTAGTAGGCACGGGGTCTATGGGGTGGTAAGATTCTGCAATACCATCAGTAGCATGTGGATCACTTTGCATGGCATTCGGAGGTGGCGACCGTTGGCTGTAGCTCTGCTGCAGCGGAGGTTGACTGTAGCCTGGCGGCGGGGAACTTTGGCTATAGCTTTGCTGCGGTGAAGTTTGACTGTAGCGTCGATGTGGTTGAGTCTGACCGTAACTTTGATGTGGCTGAGTCTGGACGTGACTCTGACTGTAACCTTGCTGTGGGCCATCAATTCCTCGCTGAGATTGTCCAGGCCTGAGGCTTGGAGGAGGATGTCCATATCCCGGAGGCCCTTGCTGCTGTGTTGGAAGAGACGTATCATGATTCCCGTATCCAGTGTTAGGTATTGGGCCATTGGCCGTCGTTGAGTCCAGACCTCGGGCGCCGGAGAAATTACCATCCTCGACATGTGCAGATTCCTCTGGCTTTTCTGTGGTATCTTCAACCTTTTCCTCTTCCTCTTCCTCCTCCTCCACTTCGTCCTCTTCATCAGGATCCTGCTCGTTGTAAACTACATCATCCCCAAAGTCGCTGTTTGTTTCCCCGACATCTGTCTCGTCCATCTTCCTGATCTTCTTCCTCAGATTGGACTTGAAATTCTTCGGGAGCGCTTTGCCACCAGCAGATCGAATGATCATCCGGAAGGAACCGTGGTAGTTGTATTTGACAGCCATCTCGAGCGCATCGCGGAACGCAGTACTACTCCAATCCTCCTTGGGAAGTAGAAGCTCCAGATTATCCGTTTCCCACCTCGCGGCAGAGGCAGCAAGCGCAGAGCCATACTTACCATTTCTCTTACTGTTCGGCTTGCTCATCCCATCATCGACCTCTAGCTTGGCGCCAGCTTCCAGCAGTGCTTCGAGTGTGCTCGAATCGCACTTCAAAGCCGCCGCTTGCAGAGCTGTGCCGTGCTTTCCAGAGACGGTGTTTATATCTGCACCACCTGCGACTAGCGCTATGACATTGCGATTGCAGCCAGTGAAAGCTGCAAGTTGTAACGCCGTGCCATGTTCCCCTATGATTGTGTTAGGATTGGCGCCCTTAGCTAGGAGCACTTTCACGCATTGAGAGTCCATCTGCATCGCTGCGGCATGCAATGCCGTGCCGTATTGTCCACCTTGGATGTTGACGTCTAAATGTGGATCGGCGTCCAGTACAAGCCTCATAGTGTCGATGTCTCCGGACGCAGCAGCCGCCTGTATAACCGTATGATACGGGCCTGCCACAATGGAAGGGGAGGCACCATGATCTAGAAGGAGACGGCAGCATTCCACAGAACCACGGGCAGCCGCTGCATGCAGAGCAGTACCATTGTGACCACCACTGTGATGGATATCAGCCCCACGTTCTAAGAGGAAGGCGACGCACTCGTCGTCGCCGACCATCGCTGCAAGTTTGAGAGCCGTATCACCATCTTGGTCGGCTTGGTTAACATATGCACCACCACGATCAACCAACGTCTTCATTGAACGCACTGGTAGTGAGATGGCGGCGTTGTTGAGTGGAGTGCTGTTGTCTTCACCGCCGAAGACGTTGACGTTGACACGTGCATTGACAAGCATCTCAATGATCTCTCCCTCCGCTTTCCTTGACGCAGCAATGATGGGATTTGTCATTGTGCCTCTTCCAAGGTTCGGGTCTGCTCCATGTTTCAAAAGCAACTCTACGGCATCGTCAAACCCAGAGACACAAGCGGCCTGTAGGGCCGATCCGGCGTCGAAATTCGGGTTGACTTCGTTTACATCTGCGCCATGCTGGATGAGTAGGGTGATGACCTCTTCGTGACCCTGGGATGCAGCCGCTTGAAGGGGATAGCCTGCCGGATGCCTGACGTGGGCGCCTGCATTCAACAGCATAGTCACAATTTCGGTAGTACCGTCATAAGCGGCTGCTGTAAGTGCGTTGCCATATTCGGTTCCCTCAGCGTTGGGATCTGCATGCATGGACAGAAGAATCTCTACCGTCGTCTTCAGTTCGAAGTCGGTAGCTGTATACAAGCTCTCGTTTTTGGTCGCTTGAGAGATGCTACCATGTGAGTAGGTCCACAGCATTTGGAGGATATCGTTCGCGCCTTTGGCTGCAGCTTTCGTAAATGCGACATCGCATTGGAGACCGCGAACATTTCTGAGAAGGAAGTCAATAATGTCTTTCGACACCACAGCAGCTGCATGCTCCAGTGCGTGCTGACAAGACGTCATTGTATGGTCAATTGGAATGACGGCCCGGACGATCTCGAGGTTCGATGACGACGCAGCTGCCGCCAATGCACTGCCATATGCAGGTGATTGCGTGTTTTGGTATCCTCCCGCATCCATAATTAGCTTGACCAGATCTGCTTTGCCGGTTGAAGCGGCGAGCGCAAGTGGAGGCTCCAAATCAGGCCCGGTGAGATTCGCATCGACATGATACTTCAGCAAATGCTTGACAGCATCCAACTCACTGCGAGCAATTGCGAGGGTGAGTGCGGTACCATCGTCATTCGCGTAGGCATTGATGTCCGCAGGTCCGGCCTGCCAAGTCAAGAGCATCGTCATGGCCTTGAGCTCTCCAGTGCTGGCTGCCATCATCAGAGGCGTCCAAACATGGTCTTGACGGCCGTCGTTGATATCTGCGCCGTGTTCCAGCAAGAGCTCCATCACGTCCAAGTGGCCCTTTTCGGCAGCCCAGTGCAGCTATAGCAGACATGTATCAGCGAAAGCTCGTTACCGGAACGATCTAGAACCGCACTCACCGGTTGGTTGTCCCACGAATCTCTCTTATGGATCTCGTCCTTGTGACCAGTCTTCAATAGACTTTCAACGAGAGGGGTGAACCCAAAGAATGCAGCGACATGCAAAGCGGTCATGTCTGACAGCTCGGAATAATCATCTTCAATCTGGGTATACTGCGACCACCACTTATTGCGAACATCTGATGTGAGAGCCCAGAACGCTTGGTCGAGCTTCAGGCTGTCTACAACGTCTGCAGTAGCCTGTTGAGCATGGCGAAGCCAATACTCAAGACAGTAGTTCAACGCTTCTTCTGGGTCCTCGTCTTCCGCTTCGTTCGTTTGTTGCTCGTTGCCCTTCGCATCACCCTCTTTCGGCTCATCCTCCTCTTCATTGTCGTAATCGTCCTCTAATTCCTTGGGTGGTGTTAGTGCTTTCAGAACATTCGAGAACGATCGCAAAGCCATGGCGCCATGCTGCATCTTCAGATCCTCTTCCCCAAGACCTAGCAACTCTTTTGCACGCTCGTGTAGTCTTGTGCGGGCCGAACTGTGCAAAAATGTGACTCTACATTCAGCGACTTCGTCATCCTCCCAGTCTTCATCCTCTTGGCCTCCTTCGACTGTCTCTTCTAGATCGTAATCAATGATCTTAATAAGAGCACCGCACTTGTTGATTGCTTCGACGAGTCTGCTTTTATTGTTCTTGTCCTCACCATAGAAGGCCACTTCAGCAAGCGTTCCAAGCTCTTCAACAGTTGGGTCGTCGAAAGCCAGCATCAATGCCCGCAATAACTCTTTCGTCCATTCAACATCTTCGTTGTTTTCGTCCAGCACAGAGCTCCACGTTCGATCTAGAAGTGTCGGGAGATTCTGAGGCGCTTGTGCCAAAGCTTTGCGAACCTCGATCGTGTTGGCCGGCAAAAGTTCGAGCTGTCGGCAAATGACATCAATCCACACTATGTTCTCTGCTTTTCGCTCGACCAGACTGGAGGCAAAGTATTGTAGGGCTGGACTGTAACCCTTCCTCTTGGAGAGCTCGGCAACCTTTCGCCTGGCATGCTCTCTCAGGTCTAGCTGCAGGGCCCCGCCGTATTTGGGGTCATCTAGATTCATTTCGTCAACGGTAGGAGAACCGCCGAGAACCGCCTTGATGTTGTCTCTTCGCCTCGATGTAAAGAGCCAGCGCATCGGCGCACGGTGATCTTCGTTCGGGTCATACGCCGGACTACTGGGATCCTGGCTACCAACAACATCATATTGCATCAGCTCGAGCAACTGCTTTGTGCTATCCGCATCTGCGGGTAGTTCGTGCAGGCTATTGAGCACAAAGAAAGCACCCTCAATGCCGGGATCTTGAAGCATATCCATAAGTACTTTCCACAAGGCTGGCACTGTGAAGGACGCTTCTGAGCTCCCACCAACTCCGCGCTTTT